CTTACTAAAATGTGTGTCTAATCTCATGTTCTAAGGTTGTAACAATCTATTCATGAGAGTAAAAACTTACAATGTGTGTCTAGTCTCATGTTCTAAGGTTGTAACAATCTATTCATCATAGTAAAAACTTACAATGTGTGTCTAATCTCTTATGTCTTTGCTAAACTTTGTTACACTTTACCATTTGGGAAAACCCAGGCACAACAATAGTTATAGTAATGACTCATGGCACTCAACTTCATTGCTATGAACGTCTACCTATGAAAACCAATCTGACCCTCTCTCCTGAATTATAGCCTTTATGATGAAAATGAGCTTGCTTGATATAAGAGATAATGTCAGATGTTGACATCCCAGGAAACCTCACTTCAGAAATGAGGATTCCAAAGTAAAAGAAAATGCCACTTGGGGGGAAAACAAATGCTGTAAAGGGATAAAACCACCTTTCAGCTTTTGAATATAATGAGAATGGAAATCACTTTAAGACCAGCTGAAGAGGCTTTTATTATGGAAATTAATAGCATAAATGGATATAATTAAAGAAAATGATCTAAATACCTAAGCGACTGCCAGGCTGGTATGGGGCTGCATGCTAATTGGCACATCCTTTAACTTGGCATTCAGTTCTCTTCTTAGCAAAAATAATCCCAGGGCTGAGAGGCCAATAGCTGATTTTATACGGAGTCCCCAGGGCAGATTCAAGTGAATACAATGCAGATGCTCTGCCATAGCGCCAGCCAGCACAACAGGCTGAACTCGGGACACTTCATGAAAACACTAAGTTGCAAGTGTCTTCCTGTGGATCCACCATGCCCGGGTAAAGACAGAACCCCAACTGAGGAAAAGGAGACCTGCACTGTAAACACCCACTCAACCAGCCCCTCCAGGTCACCATCCAATGACAAAGGCAGACTTATCCTCCCCAACCAGAAGCTAGTTGGTCAGTGCATGGCAGAACTTGGAAGACCTCCACAGCCGTGCTCCTGTAGCAAACCCAGAAGCCAATGGGTCTGTACATGGCAGAATCTTGAGGAATTCAACAGGGACATTTGGAGGTGGTGATCACAGTGCCTTCTGTTCCCTTTGGACTCACGGTACTGTTGACCTTAGTGTTTCCTGTAGGCCTAGCCATCATGCCTCCAAGGTGTGAGTCTAGCCTGAAGGATTGTGTCAACCCTGCTATACCTGTGAATGACAGATATTCTGGGGGAAATTATCTACCTGCATTAATGATTTATTCCTGGCTATACATCCCACATGTCCTTATAGATGGACATTCTCTAAAAATGAAAGGAACAGGTCCCTTCTACACCACATTCACCCTTTCTTCTGAGTCTGATTTCCCCAGTGACGTGGTGACTTGGGCAGGAACTCACAAAACTTCTGCTTACACGTAGTGTCGTGGGAAACGAGCATGAGAAAGACTGACATGAGCTGGCGAGGCATAGCCATTGGTGAGTTTGTCTTCTTCTCTGTCTGAAGCAAAGGACAAACTGGACTTCTGGGAACGGGACTCTAACTAACGAATAACACAAGGGAGAGCTTAGAGTCGGTGGTGGGTGCAGATGCCACAGTTTCCACACAGAAGCAGTTACGATGAAACCCGGTTGCAAGCGGAAGCAAGCACCTCGCCCGCCCCTCGAAATACAGCAACAAGGAGGACTTAAGTTCCATGCCAGACAGGGGTGTTCAGTGAGAGCTTGTCTCAAAAAACCATACGAGAAAAAGAAACAAAAGGTGGGCTGGGAGTGTGGATTTGCCTAGTATGCCCACCCTCTAGGTTCAGTCCCAAGCCACACAAAAATCAACATAGTACTCAAGTTAAAAATTTTCAGGTACTTGGGCAGGTGCACCACACGATGGCGGCAGAGGACAGTAGCGACCTTTGCAGCAGTCACCAAGTCACAGCAAGCAAAACTCTTAGAGTTTCCAGGCCTAGATGGCAGGGATGAGAATCCTTAGCAGACCTCTGAGTGGCTGCTTAGGAAGGAAGGGAGACCTAGGCTCTTTGTAAGTAAAATGTCCCTCTTTCTGTTTTCTTCAGTAACCATAGTGGTACAAAATAGGGAGAGGGTCAGAGGGAACTGTGCATACTGGGAGGTGACAGGTAAAATTCAACTCCCATCTCCACAGCAGTCCTAATCTCCAACGGGATGAAAGTGACTCCTGGAGGAATTCATTAGAGTTCAGTGAGGAGTTACCAAAGACAATGAGCTGAAGGAGGAACCTCTGTAGGTAGAAACGATTCCATTTCTACTACATTTAATTGTTTGCTTATTTGTGGGGGAGCGGGGCTTGAAGATGTGCAGAGGCTCTCCTACCTTACCTGCTGGTCCAGCTCACCAGCCCCAGTTTAAAGTAAATAAGAGGAATGGTGTAGAGCCCTTTTCGGAAAATGTGCCTTACTCACTTTTATAAATTGAGTTCAGATTAGACACATCAAACTTTGCTCCAAGCTGTGGGCAAGCCTGTTGGACTGCGGGTCTGAGCACAGTGGAATTCACACCCGTTCGAAACCAATGCAGGAAGTCACGAGTTTGATTCCTGCCTAGCCTATAGAGTGAGTGCCTTTCTCGGAGAGAAAGAGCAAACGTTCAGTGGTTGAGGATACAGCTCTGTCTACAGGACTTGAAGATGACGTTTCCTTGGCGTCATTCTCCACCTCTAGCTCTTTCAATCTTTTCTCCCCCTCTGCCTCAGATGGATCAGTGGGCAAAGGTGCTCACTCTACAAGTCTGGTGACCTGCGCTTGGTTCCCAGAATCCACCTAAAGGTAGAAGGGGAGAGCAAACCCCACAAAGTTGTCCGTCCTCTGAACTCTACACAGTGCTATGCCACATGTGCACACACACTAGTAATACAAAGTAAAATGAAGCAAGCACACGGACTGAGCTCAGTGAAGTGGATCAGTGTCGGCTCAGGGCCCCAGGGCCGGGTTCTCAGCACAGATCTATTTGCTCAGAGGGCAGGGAATAAGAGACAAAGACAGGAGACAGAGGATGAGGGAGGGGACAAGGGAGAGGCAGGAGAGACAAAGGACTGCCTCTGGATAGAGAGGGCACAGACAGCAGTTTATAAAAGTGCAAGGGGAAGCCCTGTGGTAGGATGAGGTGTTTTTACTTGGGCATGTTAATTAGATGAACAAAAGGGGGCTTTTGATTACTGGACTACAGTACTTTGATACTGGACCTTGGTAGTCAGCCCCAGGCCAGAAAGTGACCAAATAAGAGAATAGACCTCGGCGGCCAGCTTTAGGAATGTAATCTAAGGGTGCTTACCAAGGCAGAGGGGATGGGGAAGGGTAAGGCCTGCCAGAGCCATGTTTGCCGTCCTCGAGCTAGCCAGAGTCCTTTCAGGAAGAACATTTGGTTAGCATGCACACAGTCCTGATGAACAGTTTTTAAATGGGCACTCCAATAATGTTATGCATATTTCATGCCTACCGTGTGCTAGCCACACAGAATATTAAGTAAAATCACTCCCCCACTACCATGAACATGAATGATATATTTTTATTGATTTATTTAGAGAGTCTAGTATAGCCCAGGCTAGCTTTAATTTGGTATGTAGTCTAGGATGGCCTTAAACTCCTGATCCTCCTACCTTCATATCCCAAGTGCTAGCATTAAAGATATGGGCCACCACACTAGGCTTTTGCAGCACTGGGAGAGAACGCAGGGCATTGTGGGTACTAGGTAGGCAGACGACTAAACTACATTCTCATCGCCCTCCCATCACCCATTTGTTGTTGTTTTGTTTTGTTTTTCTCAAGACAGGTTTTCTCTGTGTAGCTCTGGCTGTCCTGGAACTTGCTGTGCAGACTAGGCTGGCCTTGAACTCAGAGATCTGCCTGCCTCTGCCTCCCTGACCCTGAATGCTGAGATTAAGGGTGAGCACCACCACGGGGAGAGGGGGTTCTTACGTAGCCCAAGCTATGCTCAGACTCACTAAGGCCTTGAACTCCGATTCTCCTGCCTACACAGCTCAAGTGCTGTGATGCCGGGCTCGCTTTGCCAAGCCAGGGTGCATATCTCACTCTAAATGGTCTCTTGCCAAAATGGAAGGCACATTGCATCAGCTGACTGGAGAGGATCTCCTGCCAGTCAAGTCCCACTGAAGATAGAGAAAGCCCCTAAAAATAGCCATCTGTGCTCCAGCTCAACAGGTGATTGGCTCAGAGAGGGGAGGAGGTCCTCTAGGCTGGGTGAAGGAGAGAGAAAAGGACAGCACCATTCTTAGCTTCTCCTCAGCAATGGCTCTGCCTCTCAAGGTCTTGAGTCGGGGCTTGGCCAGTGCAGCCAAAGGAGACCATGGAGGGGCCGGAGGTAAGTGGGCCTAGCCCATCTGTTCTCTTGTCTCCTCTTTCCCCTCCCTCTCCTGGCGACCTCCACGACCCACCCGCACTGATCTTTCAGGCCTCGAGGCCCGGCGATAGCTTGTCTCTCACCCTCACCTTTGCTCCTCCAGCCAACACCTGGCGCTTCCTGACCTTTGTGCTAGCTCTCCCCAGCGTGGCCCTCTGCACCCTCAACTGTTGGATGCACGCTGGCCACCGGGAGCGCCCAGAGTTCATCCCTTACCACCACCTCCGCATCCGCACCAAGGTAAGTATGCCTGAGGCTGAGTGAGGGCAGGCGGGGAATCCCAGAGGGGACCGATTGGAGCCATCTGTCTGCCTTCTCTCCACAGCCCTTCTCCTGGGGGGGACGGCAACCACACATTTTTCCACAATCCTCACGTCAATCCTTTGCCTACCGGCTATGAGACCCCCTAAAGTCTTCCACGGTCTCCAAACTGATCTGTGTACCAGCTATGAGAGCCCCCGAAATTCCAGTGGGCAGTTCCAAGTGCAATAAAAGTATGAAACTTTTGTGTCTCCGGTTCTTTGGGAACAGCATTGCGGTGGGGGGGGGGGGGGAGGCTAGGCAGACTCCAAAGGCATAGTTGGTATCTGGGTTCAAGCTCTTCCATAGAAGGAAAATGTGAAATTTCCCCTGGCATTTTCATTTTATTTAATTTTTTATTTAAAAAACATTTCAGTCAAGCAATACATTTTTATGTTGAGCGTATTCTCCTCACTCTGTGTTGCAAGGTCATTCTTATCCAATTGAAAATGTTTGCTGACCCCATGCCTGCTCTTACTCCCAGATCAGCACTGGAGTCTTACATGGGCAAAAGCATAAAATCTTCCAGCTCAGGAAGTAAGGCATGGAACCTGGGAAGTTGTCCAGGCTCGTCCTGAGCTGGAGAGAGCTTGTTCCCATGCCAGTCAATTCATAGGCAGAAACAAGGCCAACTCCTCCTGGTGGAGATACACAGGAGAGCAGATTCCTAGGACTGAAGCAGGCATGGAGTCTCACCGCTGAAATGGGCCTCAGCGGCTGTGGCAGGAGCCGCAGGCTTGTCATCCAACATTTCTTTGTACCGACGTTTGAAGAAGCCAAGCTGTGAAATGTGGTAAGTCAGAAACACTGGGTAAGAGGGTAGGGAAGAAAGTCCGGAAGAGGAATTGAAGATAGAGAACTAACTTCCAGCTGTGTGCGAGAACATGCATGGGAACAGCTGTCACTAATGAGATAGACTGTGTGCCAAGCAGCTGCAGGAGAAAAGCGTAGCTTTACGTCATGCAGATTTCCACGCCATTTCTGTTTCACTTCAGCCAATCTATGATGTAAGTCTTACTGTTATTTCAAAAACAAGAAGCAAAAAGAGACCCCCAAAGGAGAGGCAACTTCCTAAAATTAAAGTGTAAGTGACCGAGATGGGACATGTTCCCAAGCCTGCCCCACAACCAGGATCTGAGTTTTCACTCTCCTATCTTGTGCCTGGCAGAGCTGGTGGTGAACACTGGGAGTGTTAGGAAAACGATTTGAAAACGACAACTCACCTTGTACAGAGCAGCTGTGATGAGAGCCAGCACCAACAGACCTCCCACCGAGCTGCCCACTATGAGGGGGATGGGCTCGTAGACTTCATACTCTTGTAGCACTGTCTCTACCTGATGTGAAAACCAAGGAGTGCTCTCTCTCTCTCTCTCTCTCTCTCTCTCTCTCTCTCTCTCTCTCTCTCTCTCTCTCTCTCTCTCTCTCTCTCTCTCCCTCCCTCCCTCTCCCCCTCTCTTTCCCTCTCCCCCTCTCTGTCCCTCCCTCTCTCTCCCCCCTTTCTTTCCCTCTCTCTCTCCCTCCCTCTCTCTCTCCCTCTCCCTCTCTTCCTCTCTCTCCCTCTCACTCTCTCCCTCTTTCTCTCCCTGTCCCTCTCTCTCTCCCTCTCTCTTTCCCTCTCTCCCCCTCTCCCTCCCTGTCTCTCTGTTTCTCTGTCTCTCTCTCACACACACACTCACTGACACACTCACTGACACACACATTCATGCATGTTCTCACACACACACACACACACACACACACACACACACACACACACACACCAGGCTCCCAGCCTTTAACATTCCCCCCTCCTGGCCAATGCTCTATTCCAAGCATTGAGCTACAGAAGCACTTGTGCACTGAATGCCTAAGGACCTTCATTCATCCTCCCTCCAGGCTGGCAACTGCCCCAGCCTGCACTGCACACTGAGCATCAGGAGCCCTCTCACCAGCCCGGCCACAGCCGGCCACACAGCCACTACCTGAGCTCTCAGAAATGCCTCCTGTCCCGGCAGCTGGGAATACACAGAGGTGTTGAATGTGATCTCAGCCACACTCATGACCACCACCTTTTTCTGCAGTGTCTGCAAAAGAGAGGGTGGGACAGGGCTGGGAACTGGACCTGGGAGTTGTTCAGGGTTCAAGAACTGCCCTGACCCAAGGATGCTCCAGACCCATCAGGCATGCATGGACCAGGGGAGGGTCTCTGCTTCTGGCCACGCACCTGACTGACCCAGCTGAAGCTCAGGTTGCCCTTCAGGATGAAGTCAAGCTCGTCCTGGATGCCCAACGAGGGGACGTCACAGCGGAAGTGCAGACAGTCAGCAATGGAGCAGTCCTGGGAGGGGAATAAAGTTGAAGAAGGTCTTTACTTAGGGAAAACAGAGTAACTAAAGGCTGGGCAACATGGGTAGAGGACATAAAACCCCAGGTGACTACACAACTCTGATCCATCAGTATGTATCGGTATATTCCTGTGTCGTCATCATCATCCTCCCACCCCCACCCCCACCCCCACCCCCACCCCCGTTCATGGGCTTCTCTCACCAGCACAGGACGCCTTTGAATCTGGGCCAGAAAGTCAGATTGCTGAGGAGGATCCCTCTGGGACGTACAGGAGACACTCTGGGGGTGAGGGAACGTTTTCCTAGTAAGCGCATGGTGTTGTTATAGAAAGGGATTCTGGAGCGAGAGAAACTTCAGGCTGGTACCTGTGCCGAGGTCTGCACAGCCACCTCCCACACCGTCACACCATTCAGTAGGACGGGAACCCAGAAGTTCACGCTGATGGCCAGTTTCCACGGACTCAAGTTATTCACCTGCAGGAAATGAAGACCTGATGTTAGCATTGTCAGGGGAGCACCTCCATTTATTTCTGACCCAGAGCTCTCCAGTCTTCCCCGTCCCTAGCTGAGACCAACACTGTGTATCCATCCCCTAGCTTCTCACACGATAGCGATGCTCGGCCTCTTTCCTTCTTTCCCCATCGGAAGCTGAAAAGTTGAAATGCTTGGTGGAATCCTCCTGCCTGGAGAAAATGGCTTGTTGGTGAAAAACAGCTCTGATGCCATCCCCATTTGATCCATAGCTTGCTGCAGAGTGCTGAGCCCAGCAGATGACCCAGGAAAGTAACAATGGTCTCCATGTGCACCTGCAGCCTCGGTGCCCACGCCACGCCTCTCCCTACAGTGTTCTTTGCCAGGTACCAGAATTACCTACCAGCTCTTCCCTGGGTGCCCTGGCTTCTTTATACCTCCACAGATTTGTGCCAGCTCTTTCTTTGGCATAAAATGTTGTTAGTCAAGTTCCAGGAATTTTCACTTACAAACCCAACTTCTTCATGTCTCTTGTAATGTTCAGCATTTCCCAGTGGAGAGAAAGCATTTATATGTTTCCTAAAGCAGATAGAGTCTAGCAGATAGGGAGTAGCCTCAGGAACTCCTACAAAGTCTTCTGCCAGAATAAATAAGTCTGTCTATGAAGTGAAGGCTAGATTGCTTGGGACAAATGGAGCAAGAGCCTGTCCCTGGTGGCAGTGATGAAAACAGAGATGGTCATGTTGGGACAAGTGAGCACATGTGAAAGGGGATGGTCCAGGAGCCAAAGCCAAGAGGTCCCTATAGGCTGACAGCTTTTTGTCTACTGGTCCCTTGTTTTTGTATTTGTGACAAGGCCTCAAACAGTGTCCCAGACCAGCCTTAGATTTACAGCAATCTTCCTGCCCCCGCCTTCCCAATGCAAGGATTACAGCTGTGAGCCAACTCATCTGGCTCATCCATGGCTTTCATGATGTGGAAGTCCTGTGTATATGTCAATAAAGCACTGTTGGCCAATAGGGAAGCAAGATAGGTGGGACTAGGAGTCCAGGAGGACTCTGGGAAGGAGAAACACAGAGAGTCAAGATGTAACCACCATAGGGGTAAGAAGCCTGGAAACCTTTCTCCGGTTAGAAAAATACTTAGATTAACAATTATGGGGTAAATACTTAAGCCAGAGCCAGCCAGTAAGAAACAAGCAGGGCCAACAGCTTCATAATTAATACAGTGTCTTGTGTGTTATTTGGGGACTACAATGCGGCAGAGCCCAGGCGACTGGTCAGGAAAAACCAAAGGGGCAGACAAGGAAAACGCTTCTCTCTACAAGTAGACATTTACTGTTACAAACAAGAGGAGGGAGGGCCACAGGAGGAATGGGAAGGAGGAGAGAAAGGAATGGAGGGTATATAAATACATGAAATTATAAAAAATAAAAATTTAAATGAAAAAATAAAGAACACATACTTACTTTTGAAAAAGTGATAACATATACCAATGCTGATTATAAGTAAAAGCATCCACACAAGAGTTTCTTTCCAGGGTATTTGGATTGTCCTGATGACTTCATTAGTTAAGTTGTAATTCCTGCCTTCTCAATGCTGGATGTCTCTGATCTCAACAGAATTAAGCAGACTAGGCATAGTGGTGCCCATCTATAATCCCAGTACTTGGGAGACAGAGGCAGTTAGATCTCTGTGAGTCTGAGACCAGCCCGGGCTACATAAAGAGTTACAGAACAGCCAGGACCACATAGTGAGAGCCTGATTTAAAAAAAATAAAGAAGAGAAGGAGAAGGAAAGGAGAAAGAAGAAGAGGAGGAGGAAGATTAAAGGGGAGGAGGAGGAGGAATAAGAAGGGCCAACATGCTTCACCAGCATCCAGAAGCCAGATCATCTACCCAGAACCTCTGCATACCCCAACAGATTTCACGCTGTCAATGTGATGTTTAAGAGCACATGGGATTGACTAAGGGTGTGGCTCTGTGGCAGGACACTTGCTTAGCAAGTACTAGGCCCCAGGCGTAAGCCTCAGAACTGAGGCACTGGTGACAAATCACACGAGTTCACATCTCAGACACACCACTTCCTACCCAACGAAGTAACTTGAAATGTAAGTCATTAACTTCTCTACAGTCTGGCAGTTTTCTCCCTAACGAGGGCCATAGCAGCACCCAGCACACATGAGCTCTCCATAAATGTTGGGGTTTCCTCTTGGTACACTAGCTGAGATTCCTCTGTACTTTGCAAACCTCTTCTCTGTGCTTCCATTTTCTTACTCTAAAATCTCCAGTTTAAATGTCTTTTCTTTGAAAAATATTGTTTTACATTTACTGGTTTATCTGGGAGAGTGTGTGTGTGCCACCATGCTCATTTAGAGGTCAAAGGGCAGCATGCAGAACTCTCTTCTCTGCCTTTACCATGTGGATCCAGACATCAGACTTGGCAATTGGTGACTTTACCCACCAAGACATCTCCCTGGCCTTAAACCTCTTTTCAAATGTAAGTCAAACGCACAGCCTCCCTTGGCCTTGAGAGGTGTGTGACAATTAGCATGGGTACAAAGCCACTCTGCAGAGGCCTGGGGCTCTCATGTTTGCTTTCAACTACAGCTTGTTAAGCAAGCTGGCCTTGTAGGAGACATGCACTGTGGCTTACCTGGTGAATAGAGGGGCAAGTTATTTAACCTCCTGATTTTTTTTAAGTTGGTAAAAATAGGGACAGCAATATGGTTGTTCAGAGGATTAAATGGGTATAATAATTAAAAAAAGAAACCTGGAGCCTGCTGAGAGAGCCGGTCTACTCCTGCCCACTTTCAGGGCAGAGGGCAGAGGATAGAGAGCAGAGGCCAGAGAGTATTGAATTTGCTTACACTCACTAAAAGGGAATCCTGGTCCCCTACCCACCAGGAGAGGAAGAGGCTCTTCCTACACCCGCTGGAAGAAGGGATGGGAAAGAGACAATATAAAACCACACTCAGCAACAGAAAAACAAATATGACACCACCAGAGTCTAGAGACTCCACATCAGCAAGACCTGAACACTCCAATGCAGATGAAGCAGAAGAGAATGACCTTAATAACAATTTCATGAAAATGATAGAGGCCCTCAAAGAGGATATGAGAAAATCCCTTAAAGAAATATAAGGGGGAAAAATGCAAGAAATGGAAGAAAAAACAAGCCAAAAATGCAAGAAAAGGAGGAAAAGACAAAACAAAAATTGCAAGAAACAATTCAAGCAGTGCAAGTGTTGAAATCTGAAATAGAAACAATAAAAAAAACACAGTCTGAAGGAATGCTGGAAATAGAAAAGCTGGGGAAATAGTCAGATACTACAGATGCAAGCATAACCAACAGAATACAAGAGATGGAAGACAGAATCTCAGGTGTTGAAGATACACTAGGAGAAACAGATTCATCGACCAAAGAAAATCTTAAGTCCAACAAATCCCTAACACAAAATATTCAGGAAATATGGGACACCATGAAAAGACCAAACATAAGAATAATATGTATAGAAGGAGAAGAAACCCACCTCAAAGGGGCAGAAAACATATTCAACAAAATCATAGAAGAAAACTTTCCCAACCTTAAGAAAGACATGCCAATGAAGGTACAAGAAGCTTACAGAACACCAAATAGAGTGAACCACAAAAAAAGTCCCCATGCCACATAATAAATACCCCAAGCATATAGAATAAAGAAAGAATATTAAGAGCAGCTAAGAAAAAAGGTGAAGTAACATATAAAGGCAAACCTATCAGAATTATACCTGACTTCTCCATGGAAACTCTGAAAGCCTGGATAGATAGATATTCTACCAACACTAAGAGACCATGGATGCCAGCCTAGACTACCATACCCAGCAAAGCTTTCAATCAATATAGATGGAGAAAGCAAGATATTCCATGACAAAACCAGATTTAAACAATACATATCCACCAACCCAGCACTACAGAAAGTTCTGGAAGGAAAACTCCAACCCAAGGAAGTTAACTACAACCAGAAAAACATTAACGATAGATAATCCTACTTTATCAACAGCCAAAAGAAAAAAGGGGTGGAAATCCACATACAATTCTACTACCAACAACCATTCCAAAACAAGAATGAGCAATCAATTGTCATTAATATCCCTCAATATTAATGGTCTTAACTCACCCATAAAAAGACACAGGCTAACAGAATGGATTTGAAGACAGAATCCATCCTTCTGCTGCATACAAGAAACACACCTCAGTTTCAAAGACAGACATTACCTCATAGTTAAGGGTTGGGAAAAGATTTTCCAATGAAATGAACCCAAGAAACAAGCAGGAGTAGCAATCCTAATACCTAACAAACTAGACGTTAAACTGAAATCAATCAAAAGAGATAAAGGAAGTCATTTCATACTAATCACAGGAGAAATCCACCAAGATGAAGTCTCAATCCTGAACATCTATGACCCAAATACAAAAGGATCCACTCTTGTAAAAGAAACATTACTAAAACTCAAACCACACATAAAACCTCACACACTTATAGTGGGAGACTTCAACACCCCACTCTCACCACTAGACAGGACTATCAAACAGAAACTTAACAAAGAAACAAAGGAACTAATAGAAGTTATGACCCAATTGGGTTTAGCAGACATCTATAGAACATTCCATCCAAACACAAAAGAATATACCTTCTTCTCAGCACCACATGCGACTTTCTCTAAAATCAACCACATACTTGGGCAACATAGCAAACCTCAACAGGTACAAAAAAATTGGAATAACTCCATGTATCTTATCAGACCACCATGCTCTAAAGTTAGAATTCAACAACACCACAAATTGCAGAAACTCTACAAACTCATGGAAATTGAATAATGCACAATCATATCACTCCTGGGTCAAAGAAGAAATAAAAAAAGAAGACACAACATACCCAAACTTGTGGGGCACTTTGAAAGCAGTGCTAAGAGGAAAGTTCATAGCACTAAGTGCCCACATGAGAAAACTGGAGAATAGTCACATTAGAGAATTAACAGCACAGCTGAAAGCTCTAGAACAAAAAGAAGCAAACTCACCCCAGAGGAGTAGACACCAGGAAATAATCAAATTGAGGGCTGAAATCAATAAAGTAGAAACTAGAAAAACAATACAAAGAATCAATGTAATGAAGAGTTGGTTCTTTGAGAGAATCAACAAGATAGACAAACCTTTATGCAAACTTACCAAACAGCGGAGTGTGAACATGCAAATTAACAAAATCAGAAATGAAAAGGAGGACATAACAAGGGACACTGAGGAAATCCAGAGAATCATCAGGTCATACTTTGAAAACCTATACCACAAAAGTCAAAAATTTAAAGGAAATGAACAATTTTCTGAATAGATATCACTTGCCAAAATTAAATCAAGAACAGATAAGCAATTTAAATAGACCTATAACCTCTAAGGAAATAGAAACAGGCATCAAAAGTCTCCCAACCAAAAAAAGCCCAGGTCCAGATGGCCTCAGTGCAGAATTCTACCAGAAATTCAAAGATCAGCTTATACCAATTCTCCTCAAAGTATTCCACACAATAGAAGCAAAAGGGTCTTTGTCAAACTCTTTCTATGAGGCTTCAATAACCTTGATCCCCAAGCCACACAAAGACACAACTAGGAAAGAGAACTTCAGACTAATTTCCCTCATGAACATTGATGCAAAAATACTCCCTGGGGAATGGAGTGGGGATTGGACAGGGGGCTGAGGGGAGCAGGGGAGGAAGGGAAGGAGAGGGAGCTGGGATTAACATGTGAAGCAAGCTTGTTTCTAATTTAAATAAGAAATATAAAAAAGAAACCTTCCCAACCCCCACAATAACAAAAAAAAAAGCTTGAACTATCCCCAGTACATTTAACTATAAGCTGTGCTGTAAGGTTGTAAGTGGTTTCCTAGGGACAAAAGAAGAAACTCATGCATGCAGTGCATGGGTCATGTCATTGACAGTGACACATATGATCCTGACACCCTCCACCCCTCCCTCCTTCCCCCACCCCCCGAAGTTCTACATACTCAGCAGCCACGGCCCCAAACCCTGTCCACGGTATTCTCACAGCTTCCACGGGTTTCCACCACCTGGAGCACAGCCCCTTGCCTGCTTCCAGCCTGCCCTGCCCCTGCTCACCTACACACCTTCAAAACCCATAGCAGCAGCTTTACATCCTCCTCTGACCTTGTCTGGCCTCTGCATGGTGACAGACCTGTCCTGCTAGGTCAAGCTCCCAGAACACAAAGCCCAGAAAAGGCTTGACCTCAACCTAGTAGCTTCACTTGGTGTGCTCATGTCTAGCACCAAGGAGAGGTTTGTGTGATAGGAAGACGGAATACTGGAGGAAGAAGAGGTTAACAATGGTGAAGAGGTGTGCATGTCCGCCAGCAGGCCCTTTGATCGGAGAATTATACAGCTTTTCTTTGCAGGATCCTGCCTCAGTCGACTCCCATAAAACAAGCTGATTCAGACTCTCATTCCAAGGAGAACCAGTTGAGTAAGAAGTACCGGGCTCAGAGGAAGGTGGAAGGGGCCAGAGAAAGGCCAAGGATTCAGTACCTGTGGATCACTGTGTACACTGTGTGCTTCACTGGGAGCTCCAGCTGGAAGGCAGTCTTGTTGGTTCCAGGCTTATTGTTCTCACTGGAGGGAAAGAGTGGAAGACCATGGTGGAGGAGTAAACAATACCCAGCCGGGGTGTAGGATTGGAGGAGTGATACCACAGCTCGCCTGGGCTCACCTGCTTGCGTTGGCCCTCATAAGCAACCTGTCTCCCAAGAAGGCCTTGTAGGAGACATCAAATGTGATTATGAAGGTGCTCTGAGGGGGAGAAAAATGGAAATGGAGAAGGTTGTTGGAAAGTAAGGGAAGGGAATGTGTTAGGACAAGGAGGTCAGTGCTGAGGACGTGGGGGGTGGATAACACTGACCTTCGCACCTTCTCGGAAGATGGGGTGATTGATGCTGCAGCTGCTGCTCCTCAGGCTCTCCTTGTCAGTGAGCTCAGCCTCACATGCCACGCGTAGTGGGTATTGGTGAGGTTGCTTATAGGAGAGCAGATGAATTCAAGTTACCATATTGGTTACTTTCCTGTGGCTGTGATAAAACACCGTGGCCAAGGCAGCTTGAATATAGAAGAGTTAATTTGGCTTACAGCTCTAAGGGATAAGAGTCCATCAAGGTAGGGCAGCCAGAACAGGAAACTGAGGGCCCACACCCTCAACCACAGTGTTAAGCAGAAAGTCTAAGCTGCAAGCCGCCCAAAGTTTTCACTCTTGACCCCAACCCAGCAGTGACGTATTTCCTCCAGCAAGGCTGCAGTCCCTAAACCTTCTAGACAGTGCCACCAGCTGAGGACCAAGTGTTAAAGTTCTTAAGAGTGCGAGGCACATTTTTCTCCCAAGCTACCACAGTTATCCATGTCTCTATCTATGGGACTGACATATGATGATAGTGGTACTGCTCAGAGCAGTAGAAGGACAGACTTTTCAATCAGTGATACCAGAAAAATCATCCCACACTGAAAGTACAGAGAGAAAAATGAAGTTGGATCCCTACCTCATTTTATACATTAAAATAGACTTAAAGATTTTCATGCACAAAAGTAAAACTATAAAGATTTTTGAAGGGAATATAGTTTCTCATAACTTTGGGGTAGAGAACCTTGCTCATGCATGTTAAGCAAATTTTATACTGCTGAGTTACAATTCTCTCTCTCTCTCTCTCTCTCTCTCTCTCTCTCTCTCTCTCTCTCTCTCTCTCTCTCTCTGTCTCTCTCTCTCTGTCTGTAGTCAGGGGACACTCCCTCCACCATGTCAGTCTTGAGATTGAGCACAGGCCATCAGTCTTGGTGGCAAATGTCCTTAACCACCTTTTCCAGGTAAGGATGTCATAGTTGTTTTATGCTTGATTCCTAGGACCTCATAAATTGGACATGATGGCACATGCCTGTAACCCTTGAATTCAGAAGTTCAAGGCCAACCTGTGTCCATGACACCTTCTCAGTAGTGAGTATGGTTTCCTTACATCCTGATCTTGCTGGAGTTGAATGTAACATCACCTCAGGAGTTGGAAGGAAGTGGGGACACATCGAGTGACTGTAGGAAGGGAGACAGTGACCCTTGGTGTACAAGTCTGAGAGACAATGTGGATGGAGAGGGGGAAAAGAGCAAAGGTGGACATAAATTCTGGAGCATTAGGATATGAGGAAGTCTTCCTTTCTTCCTTCCTTCCTTCCTTTCCTTTCCTTTCTTTTTTTTTTTTTTTGTTTGTTTTGTTTTGTTTTTTCAAGGCAGAGTTTCTCTGTGTAGCTTTGGAGCCTGGCCTGGAACTCTCTCTATAGACCAGGCTGGCCTCGAACTCACAGAGATCCATCTGCCTCTGCCTCCGGAGTGCTGGGATTAAAGGTGTGCACCACCACCACCCAATGAGGAAGAATTTCTTAAACAAGATTCACATACAAAAAATACTAAGAGTAGATCAACTCAATCACAATTGAATTAACACATCCTTTATAGTGCAAAGACTAAAAAGACTAATCACTAGAATAGGATCATTGGAGTATGTAAAGAACTGTTGTAAGTCAATGTTTGAGACTGGGTCTCCCTAAGTTGTCCTTAATGACCTAGAAGTCACATAGACCAGGCTAGCCTCAAAGTCACAGAGATCCTCCCTCCTCTGCTCCCCTCCCCAAGAGTTCTGGTATTAAAGGTGTATGCCACCACACCCAGGTGTTTTTTTTTGTCTCTTTTGTTTTTTGTTTTTCGAGATGGGGTTTCTCTGTGTGGCACTGGCTATCCTGGAACTCACTCTGTAGACCAGGTTGGCCTTGAGCTCACAGAGATCTGCCTGCCTCTGCCTCCTGAGTGCTGAGATTAAAGGCATGTGCTGCTGTGCTAACCAATTTTTAAAATACAAGCAAGAACATAAAAAAATTAGTAGATAGATACACACACATCCAAAAAAGACCCAAAGAACCACAAAATGTATGTGAAGTTGCACAACTTCTCTAGAATATCCCAAACAAAAACTGCAAGGAAATGCGTGATCATATTGACAGTTGCAAAGTCTGCTGGAATCAAAGAGCAGACAGACAGGCACAGGAACTCTCACGAGCTCCTTACAGAAATGTAAGCAGACAAAGAACATGAAATGTTCTGAAAATGTTCACTTTATAGAATTGATGTGTGGTATAAATCTTCCGAAATATTATGCTCAAGAACAGTCATGGCCTGCCGTTGGTGGTGCATGCCTTTATTCTCAGCACTCGGGAGGCAGAGGCAGGTGGATCCCTATGAGTTCGAGGCCAGCCTGGTCTACCGAGCGAGTTCCAGGACAGCTTCCAAAACAATACAGAGAAACCCTGTCTCAAAAAAAAAAAAAAAAAAAGCAGTCATGGCTCAAATCAGGAAAGCAACCATCAGTGACAGAACAGATCAACTGTGGCATATTCATATAGAAATCTCACATAGTACTGTAATGTTAGGGTTTGAATAAGGAAGCGTGCTAGCCGGCTAGTATACTTTGTCCTCAGTGTGGTGCTGTTTGTAGGGACAGGGGACTGTAGAACTCTGGGGAGGTACAGCCTAGCTGGGTGATCCGGCCGGCTCTGAGCAGGTCTTGAGGCACAGAGCAGCCTGCTTGAGCTCCGTTCTTGGCTGATGAGGATAGTCAGCCTCTTACACTACAGAGGCCATGCTACAGCCCCTGTGCCTCTCCTACCATGATGGACCTCACCTTAGGTGATGGCTGCTAATCGTGGTTGTCAACTAACCCCCAGGCTCATGGACTCCTCTTATTAGTTTGATTATTTGAGGTGGGAAGACCCACCCTAAATCTGGGCCACAGCTCTGGTGGCAGTCTACAGCAAAGGACATGAAAGAAGAAAACTTTGTTCTTTGCTCCCCCTGCAGTGTAACAGGCCCTGAGACAACATTCTGACCTTAGAACCCTGCACATAGGCTCCAACACCTGCCAAAATGGGAGCCAAGACCTCATCCGTAGTTTCAGGGCCCAGAAGAGTCCCCAATGGACTCCCCTTACTTTACAGCTCCCGTAGCTTTGCTTCTTTGCTAACTGCTCCTGCTAACCAAAGTGTTAGCCAGGATGTGTTTTTTGTTCATAAAAGACAAAAAAATGGTTAAGCACATGGCTGTGTGATTTGGTCAAGTCCCCCATGCAGCCATCAGCCAGAAATACAGCCTGGCTTTAAGGACGTCCATGCGTTCTCTGGTAGCATTATCTCACAACACTAGCTGGCAAGTTCGTCTCTCCTGTTGCTGTGGCCAGTATTAAATCCATCTTTTTCAGGACTCCAACACAGGCTGAAGACCAGTGGTTCTCCGAGGGTTCCCCCAGGACCCCAGCATCAGATTGAGAGTGCTGAGCTGTCAGTTTCATGGCTGACAGCTACCAGTCCTGAGTACCGCTGCAACTACAGCTACAGCCTTCTGGTCCTCAATCAGCCATTGCGGGACGGTCCTGACAGCATCCTATAAGGTAGCCTAAGCCATTCCCTTTTAATATGTATTCATTGCATCAGTTCCATTCCTTTCAAAAACCCTCCCAGACACACCTTCTAAACTGCGCCTCACCTTTAGTATGTATCCACCGGACAGTTCTGTCCCCTAGCAGACCTGACCAGGACAGCTAAAATGTCCCTCTTTTAGGTTGTTTCTGGCAGATATTTGGTCACAATGGTGTAGCCACATGCAGCAATATGGAGGGATCTCACAAATATCACTAAAGGCAGTGTGATTTAAGGACACACTCGTGGATGGCAAACCTACAAACACCTGGAAATGATTCTTGTGATTAAAAATCTGATTATTATAGGCGAGAGATAGGGAAAGATAGAGTTGGGGGGACTTGGAGGATACTAGTAGTTGTTCACTTTTGACTAGTTATTGATGTTATGGATATTTGTTCAGCATTATTTATTAATTGACACTTAGGCTTAATATACCTTTATCTGTGTAGTTTTCTATTATCTATGATGATACATAATATCTAGATACATACATGATAGAAGGATTACAAAACAGGAGGTTATAGGGCAGGGTTTTGAAAATGTCTAATCCCCATTGTAAGATCTTAAGGAAGTAGAAACTTAACCAGACATTTAGAAATAGGACCTTGGGAAGTGATTAAAATTTGATAAGTTCATTAATGTGGGATCCCATGGTAGAAGAGGAGGGAACACACACACACACACACACACACACACACGTAGCACAAATGATAGTTGGTTTTAATAATCTGAAGTTAGATATTGAGGGGGGGGACTGAAAGATCAGATAAACAAAACGGCCAGACACTAGCTACCTCAGACCACAGGGGAGACCCTGTCCTCAGACTGCATCTCCAGATCCCACTGCTCCTCAGACCACAGGGGAGACCCTGTCCTCAGACTGCATCTCCAGACCTCTCTGCTCCTTGACTACACTGTTCCCCACCAAACCCTAGGCTGCTAGACTGCTATGAGCTCCTTTCTCCATTCCTCTCTCTGCCCAGCCATATCACTCAGGTCTCCACCTCCCTAGTGCTGGGATCAAAGGTGTGAACTCTCTTCCTCTTTTAGATTAATTCACTCTCAAGTAGCCCAGGTGGCCTTGAACTCACAGAGCTCCGTCGGCCTCTGTCTCCTGAGTGCTGGGATTAAGGGTGTGTTCTACCACTGCCTGGCCTCTGTGACTGTGACTAGCTTTGCTCTCTGATCGTCAGCTTTATTTGTTATATCATAAAGTACCACCACACTACACACCTTTGCCATGTTATTCCTTGAACTGCCTTGAGACTCTCCTAGCAAGGCCACTACCAGATGCACCCCTTAAGTTTGTACTTCCAGAATTATTATATCATTTCTTTATAATTTGTCCAGCCTGTAGTATTTTGGTATCAGGGACAGAAAAGTCCCTAGCTTTCTAGTAGAGTCCAAGGGGCCCGCTTACCTGTATTTCCATTACCCGTCGATAAGACAGCCCTGCTGGGTAGTAGAATTTGACTAAAGTTCCGTAGCTGTCCTCACCCTCGTTCCACACAGTTACTGTCACGGTGAGCTCCAGGGAGCTTCCCACCACCAAGATCTGCAGGCTGAGGAGGAAGGTCAAGCCTGAAGGAGGGACTCCTTTGGAGGTGAGTTGAAAGTGGATCAAGGGCAGAGGCAGGATGGTGGGAACTCATGAATTTTGAGCTGATAGCATTCCAACTGAATTCTTTTTTTTAGAAAGGGGTTCTTCATATGGAAGGAGACAGCACTCACCCTGAGAAGTTAAAGCTGATGCCCAGGTCCCCTTCACACAGGAGTTCTTGCTTACAGTTCTTCTCAAATGGGAGCTGCAACAAAATGGTTTGCTCCTCTCTCAGCCATGGCCGAATCAGCCTCAAACCCCCTTATTGGACTATTAGCAAGCCTCTGCCTCCCAGTATCCTGATAGACAGGAGCAAGGAATGGCTGGAGGTTGGAATGTGAAATAATGATAACTTAAGATCTTTGCTTCAGCACAACAAAGTCTAATTGAATCAAGTCCAACATGCACCAAACCATGAGCAGACATTACTAAATGCTAGCAATAGGACAGGATTTTTCGACTGGCAGGAAGTTTGGGGAAGGAAAAACTACTGGTGAATTAGATGAGGCTACAATGCTCAAGAATGTGTGATCTGGGGCAGTCACTCTGATAGGATGGTCATAGCAGACTTAGGAGCCAGAGGACAAGTGGGAACTGGGAGGTCCTGAGTGTGCTCAGAGGAGATCAGGTGGTCACTGTCTTTGGACAGAAAGAAGGAAATGTTTTTCAAGTGAAAATTACAGCAGATGAAAGGAGAAAAGAGGTACAGTGTGCAGTTATGTGCAAGGGGACCAGCTGGGCCAGGCGTAAGTAGCTAAGGGGATGCATTTTGGATTTGTTGCCAGTGGTGAACAATTAGGATCTGTTGTGGGTTCAAAAGCACAGAAAAGCATAATTAAACTGGGATTTTATTGGACAACTACTCACAGAAGCCGTCATGTGGTCTTGTGAGCCTGCAGCCAGCACAGGACGAAGATTCCTGGAAGAGTCGGCCACCAGGGAGAAGTTGAGACGCAGGATGATAGGGCTTACCACGTCCTCCACACAGTCCTGAGAAAGAGGGAACTTTGAAAAACCACCACCCTTTTCCTTCCCATCACTGGGCTCCCCCTCTGCACCCAGGCAGTGCCACATCCGGGCTGAGGGGCCAGGATGCACTCCCAGCCCTTCTCTCCGGTTTTGATACCCTGTCTCTGCCCACTTCACACAGTAGAGATCAAGGACCCGACAAGCTAGTCTTGGCTCTTTTCCCCTTCCCCCAAACCCCTCTCCCTCACCCTTCCCCACGCCCTCCCGCACTTTCCCTCACTGAAAACCCTCACTGGCAAAAGCAGCTTCATCATTTCACAGTGATCACCAAGCCCCAGAGTCTTTCTTCGAGACAAAGTCCAGCTCTTGGTCTCATCAAAAACAGCACGAGAAATCTGACGGCCTGGATCCAAGACCAAATCATACCTCACAGAGCTTTGGATATCACCTGAAGTGAAAAGGAAAAGAAAAATGCAAAAGCAAAGAAACTCAATTTCCGCTTCCATTTCGTTGTTTACAAGTGTTGAGCACTTCCATGACATCACCAAGCCTGGGAAATACACATGGAGACAAGGATGGATGGATGGATAGATGATGATGATAGACAGACAGACAGACAGACAGACAGACAGACAGGCAGGCAGGCAGGCAGGCAGGCAGGCAGGCAGGCAGGCAGGCAGGCAGACAGACCCACTCTTCACTTATGAATCTCAATCTAGTAAAGGAGCTAAACTCATGGACTGTGAATGAAACCTGGAGGAAAAGAAAAGAATGTCTCCAAGTTTTGGTATTCCTACGACTTGGGGAGATAGAGGTCGGCACACTCATAGAAGTACATGGGGGACAACGGGTGGAATGAGGTGTGACAGAAGATTCAAGGGGAACCAAAGCAGAATGGAGTTGCAGGAAAGGATTGGAGTCTCCATAATTTTAAGATGAAGCAGTTTAATGGTGTTAGGGGTTGCTGTGAGGAGCCTAGTTTCGAATTTTGGGATCCATCAAGTATAGTTTCTCACTGGACAATGGGTGAGGGTGAATAGGGATAGGTGTGAGGTTCAATGAGAGAGTCTTTGCTTCGGTGTAGGTATCAGAGATGTGGTATCTTAAGCAGGGACAGAGGCTAAGGTAGGGAGGAGAGGAGACGGCCTGGGTGCATGAAGAAGAGAAAGGAAAGAACTCAGTCAGGTCTCTGACTCAGGAAGCTCAGGAAAGATCAAGAGATTTATGTTCCTGGGATTGCTCTGCCTCTGATGGAGCGTTTCTGCTCCCAATTTTAGAAAAACACTCACCTAACTGGTCATGGGAGCCTTTGTGGATAGTGAGACAGACGGTGGCCTCCCCAGCTTCAAGGGCAGTGGGATTCCTTTTCCAGCATTGGTACACAGCCTTTGCCACCTTCACAGGGACAAATCTTATGGCAATCCCCACTTTCAGCAAAGGCAGGCTCCTGGGGACATAGACAAGGGTTAAGGACCTGACACTGATCTCTGGGAGAAGGACCAGCACAAGTGACTTGGACAACATGGACAAGGGTGGGATGTGGGTGAGTTCTCACCTAAGCAACAGCACGTGTCCCTGGGCTCCCACAGCCAGGTCCACCAGGCCGTCCTGGGTAAGGTCCTGACCCCCACTTAGTGACTGCCCAAAATATTGGAGCCTCAGGCAGAGCTGGGAGCCAGTGATCCGCTGATCAGGAAGAGAAAAGAAAAGAAAAACCAATAGATGGTGATATTCAGGGATTGTGAAAGGGGAAATGGAGAGTTAGGAGTTGAAAGTTAGCAGTGTGAGGGTCTTAGGAGACTCTCAGAAAGAGAGAAGGGACCCCTTCCAAGTCCAGCTTGCCCCGACAATATGCACAGCAGTGAAGTAAAAACAGAGCCATAGGATTAAAACAGACTTATTTGTTCATCATTTGTGTGATCATCTGGAAAATTAGTGGTACATGGAGTACTTCGGGCACTCTCTGTTTTATTTTTACAGGGAGGAGTTGTCTTGATCATTTCTGTTTCATGGGGGAAAAAAAACTAAAGCTGGAAGAATCTAGGTCAGCCATTTAGACAAAGAACACAAAGCAAATGATGGCTGCTGCTGTTGCGGGGATTTGACTCAAGAGTTTAAGTTCCATGCTTAGTCTCTTAGTGGGAAAGCTATCCACAACAGAGCAGAGGCTGTGTTGATGCACCTGTGCTTGGTGCTTAGTTCAGAGGGACAATAGACTACTCAGAAGCTGTGAAAAGCAGCAGCTGCCATAGCCAGCAACCGGAGGCTGCATTTACCCAACGAAAGACATGGAAAGGGGAAGGAACTAGAAGAGACTGACGGCAAGGCCTCACCTGGCTGGGCGAGGGGCTGATGTCCAGTTTTGAGGCTCCATGAAATACATACACAGCACCCCTGTTCTCTTCCTCTCCAGGTGCACCAATAGCCACATCTGTCACACTGTCCCCATTCACGTCACCTAGCACTGTCAGGGCCACCCCAAAGCGGCCCCAAGGATGGCCCTGCTCCCCGTGCAGAGTGGCCTCACACTGCCACCTGATTCTCTGCAGAGCAAAGTCAGTGTCAGACCCACCCTGGGCGGCCCTCCACCCGTACCCACAAACCGCCAGCCAGGACCCTTCACCACTTACCCCACTGGGCATGGGGCACACAGACACCTGCCCCCCTCGGGTCTGCTCATAGTAATGGGGGGCCCCGACCAGGACCAGGTCAGTGCTGCCATCTCCATCCATGTCCACAGAGCAGAGGGAGGCCCCAAAGTACGAGCCGATCTGGTGGGCCGAGTTTGAAGTCATCTTATAGATGCCCCTCTGCCTCTCTCCCAGTACCACAGCCTCCCCTATGGGTCCCAAAGCCCCTTCATCTCCTCCTTCTCCATCCTGACCACACTGCTCACTCTCAAACTCCACTCTGGCTTCTTCCATACCAACCTGAGTTCCACTGACTTCAAACTTGGGCTTCCATTGCCTGGATTCCTGGGTAAAGATGACAACCTTCCCTGTGTGCTGGTGTCGAGGGGCCCCCAGGACCAGGCTGTAGACCCCCTTCCAAAAGGCCAGTGCGGTGGAGTAACCTGAGGGACCCAGACCTCAGCACCAAGCCTCTTCCTGTCTTCGGGCAGCTCTTCCCGCCCCTTCTCCTCCCACAGCCTCTTCTTACCCAGGTAAGCATCCCTCATGTCCACATTCTCCTGAGACATGTTGATGAAGGTGGGTCTCGTATTTGGGGGGTATAAGAAGGCACCTCCAGACCAGCCGAAGCTTCCCACAGCTCCCAGAACTGGTCCATCCTGGGAGGAAAGGATGCCAGGGTTGAGCAGACTGGAGCAGGCTGGCAGTCTGATCCAAAGAAGCCTGCTCCCAAACACCATCTCGACTTCCCTTCCTCCTAGTTTTCAGTAGCTGTCTCTGCACCTTAGCCTCTGGGTCTCTGGATACATTGCCCTTGCCCTTGTCAGCTCTGCTTCCTTCCTGCCTGTTCTGCCTCTGAGGTCCCTGCATCGGTCTCTACCTTCTTCCATCCCAGCACCAGGCCTCCTCAAACCTAACATGTAGGTGGCACTGTGCTAGGAACCATCACTGGTCCCTTGGAATGTTCATCTGGGTCACTTCTCAATTGAACCCGGGCAGTTAATCTCTGCTCCCAAACACAGGGGACCTTTCTTCTGGCCACCTCTCAGCTCCTGTATGACAAAGGCAATCTTGTCACATCCTTGTGAGGTCTTTGTCCGTACCCTCAGGCAGCAATACTTCATGCACCCCTGCATGCCTTATTTGTCTTTATACTTTTACACTTCTGATTGTGCAGAATGGTAGAGATATAGAAACACCAAAAGAAATGTTTAATGACCCTCCAAGGAGAACCGTTGACACAGATCCAGTGACCAGTTCAAACCCAGTCTGGTCATTTCTTCCACACCCTACTCAGCCCCCAGTTATCAGAAGAAAATCTCTGTAGATGCTCTGGGCATACAACAGCTTTCAAACAGGTCCCGCTGCACTGTTTTTCCCCCTCTGGCCCCTGTGGTCTGGGCCCTCCTACCCCTCCAGCTGCTCATTGTCCCGCTCACTCTGCCCCTGCTGTGTCCACCTTATTTTTCTCTTTTTCTAGCACCACGGTTTTATTCCTTCCCCAGAACCATTTCAGTAGCGTTTTCCTCTAACCGCGGTAATGGTTCTTCAGATTTCCCCGGGGCCGCCCTTCCTCATCACCACCTTCTGACCATCTTCCTTTTTCTATCCCGATGGCCATGGGAGTCAGAGGATGCTTTGTGTGAGATCTCTACCCACTGGGATGCATGCTCCATGGAAGTTCAAGCTTTGGCCGTCACCTGCTCTTCTTTGTCCCCAGCACCCTAAGAATCATGGGTGACACTCCTCACTCAGTTAGAGGACTTAAGAACAAATCTGCTCCTGGTCCCTTCTGAGCCTTACCCCGCCCACAGCAGGCCCAGAGTTGATGTCTGTTGATCAAGGGTACGTTCCACCCACCATTGTGAGAGCCGAACTGAAACCTTCTTGCGACATCTCGTGCTGAAAGGAAGTACTTGTCCCTGATTGAGTTCCTGTGGGAAAACATGTCACTTAAATTCTCCAAAGCTATGAGACCATGGGGACTCAGAACAGAGGGAATGGGGTCTGGGCCCTGAGCTCTAGGGGGCATTTTTGGGGTGGCTTGTGAATAAGGATGAACATCAAGACTACAGGGGACAACTTGTAGCAATCCCTTAAACTCCAAGGCAGGAGCTTCTTCCCACTTACCCTCGATGGCAAAGATTTTCTCCTGAAGCTGTTTCTGGATGCTACCAAGCGCTACAAAGTTGTCCACCTTGAAAACGTGGTCCTGTGGGGGAGCTGAGCCAATGGTGTTCAGCTCCTGCAGTGCACTGGGTTCCTGGAAGGCATCTCCCACCTGCGGCAGAGTAGAAATCCACTGAACCTTCACTGGAGGGAGAGAAGGCTGGATCTGAGGGGCAAGGAGGAAGGAACTGTACCCCAATAGCATAGCGAGTGATGTTAGCTTTCTCTGCCTGGGGGATGACATCACTGTACGTCAGGGGGTCTCTATATTTCTGCCCATCTGTGATGACAATTAGGATCTTCTTGGCATTTTTGCGAGCCCCATTCTTGCTATGAAACAGCTCTTCCCTGTCAGAGAATAAAGAGAAATGACTTTTGAGACATAAGTGACTCTGGAAAGACAATTTGCAAAGGCTGAAACTCATCTGGATATGTTAGAAAGACCATATTGGGGATGCTATAGGATTATCCAGAGTTGGTAATGGTGATGCAGGTCCACAGTCCCAGGCTAAAGGAGAGGAAGGAGCATGAGTTCTGGCCTGGCTAGGCTACATCGTGAGATCTTGGACACACACACCCTCACCCTGCCTCTCACACCTATCCCTTTATCTCTTACCCATGCCTCTAACACCCCCACCCAATAAAAGGGAAGAAAGGAAGGAAAAGATAAAGGTCTCCCTTTTGGAGTGCTATCCTAGAGCACAGAAAATAACAAAGGTGTTCATATTAGGTATTTACTAAAGTCTCTCTACCACTGAACTTCACTCCTAGGAGGCAGTATGGTCGGGCAGCTTTGGAGTCAGATATCCCTTGTATGTGCAGCCTGGCCTCTCTGAGCCTCCGATTCTCTCAAGTAAACTGATAGTGACTGTGCTGTAACCATGTTCTAAAAATGGCTCAGATGGCTCTTCTCCTGGCCTGGCCTGTGACTCACTTTCATCCATAGCAATGCAGTGGCTTATTTTTTGTTTGTTTTTGGGTTTTTGTTTGTTTGTTTGTTTTTTCCGAGACAGGGTTTCTCTGTATTGTTTTGGAGGCTGTTGGTCCAGCCCAGCCTTGAACTCACAGAGATCCGCCTGCCTCTACCTCCCGAGTGCCGGGAATAAAGGTGTGCGCCACCAACGCCTGGCTCAATGGCTTATTTTTGCACTGTCATCTCTCATCACAGATTTAGATGCATGGCTACACTTTCAAGCCACAGTGAGAGAAGCCTGGCTACTCTGCTAGAGGTACCAGGAGCAGTCCATGGAAAGAGACCACGTGTAGACACAAGTCTAACCATCCCAGCTGAGCCCATTCCCTCCAGCCAGTCCTCATGAGCACCAGGTGTATGAAGGAACTCTCTGGGTTCTGACTATATGAAGGACATCTACAAAAACAGCTGGATCTGCCATCCTCCCCTGGATTAGGAAAAAAGAGTATATGTTGTTGAAGCCACCAGATTTGATGACTGAATCAAATGGGACTTGGTTATTGGAAAGATTCCACGGCAGTGAATGGCCTGTGGGTGAGTGCTTGTCAGGTGGTAGCTCTAACAAATGCTTAAGATGTATATAACTGTGTACCCTCAACACTCAAGTCCAGAACATACCAAACACCTGCCAAATATAATTGCCCAACATTAGGGAGGGAATTCAACGAATCTAACTCAGCTTCATCAGCTCCTTTGTTGAAAAGTAAAAGTCAAAACTATAGCAAAATATGGAAGATGCTGTAAATTTAAGATTTCCTTCAGAAATAGAGAAAAATCTATGTTTGCCCTGTTGTGACCATATACCATCAGTCTGCAAAAAGGCAAGTGATAGAATTTGGACTGTGTCGGGCAGGTTGAATTTATTGATTCATTTGAATGTACCACTTTTCCTTTCTAATATTATATATGGTAGAATGTCTAGAGGGGTTATGGGTAACCCTTAATCCTGTAATGTTCCCACTGTTTTGGGCCTTGTGAGTTGTTGTTTGACATAAGATCTTATGAATTACAAGCTGAACTTGTCTCAGGTAACCCAAGCTGATCTCAAAATCAGCCTAGGATAACTGTGATCTTTTCTCCCAAGTGCTAGGACTAGAGGGGTTTCACTCCCTATTAAACACTAAGACTAAGACACATCACCTGCCTTGCCATTTTGTCTTTTTAAAATGAAATGTCTTAAGGGAAAGAAGGAGGAAGGGAAGGAGGAGGAGGTGGCAGAAGAAAGAGAAGAAATTTAACTCAGCACTGGAAGAACCAAGCAGCAGCTGAGTCCAGTGCTAAGATGAGCTTGGCTCCAAGGATACTGGCGACTGGAGAGACACAGTGCATTCTGGTATATGCGGGGTGGGCCACTGTCACTCTGCTTCATGTACTTTCTCTTCCAAGGCTCTTCCAGTGGAAAAGCATTGAGTTCCTGAGGAAGGGCTCCAGGAGGGGGGCGTGTGTGGTTTCGAACCCTTCGGGGTTTCTATCTTGTGTCCAAGGTACAAGAGAAGCCACAAAGTAGAGTGAGTGCATTTAGCCAGAGGATCTCTTGTTTGGGATGATCCTATCCCATTTTAGCACAGCTCAGTGAGTTCTGTAGTGACCATCTGGCTCCAGTGCTGACCAGACATGTAGAAGAAAGCCTAGAGGTTCCTAGAGCCAGGCAAAAAGAAAGTAACTGCAGAGGAGTCGAGCCTCGCACATGGGAACTGGGCCCAGGGAAGCATTCTGCCTACAGCCGATCCTCTCCAGAGGAGAGCTAAGAACTACGCTGTGCAGCGTCATGAAGAAGCAGCGTGGGTATCTCATCTGACACAGCAGCGGGCAGGAGGGACTCACACCACTTCCCGGATGCCTGTGGCTGTGTACGTCAGGCCCTGCAGCTGGACGATGGAATCCACCAGGCTCTGGGGGTTCAAGCTGCTCCGGAATTTGGTGAAGGTGAAATGGGTCTTCAGGATGTTTGAATACTGCATCAGGGAGAACTGCGAAAGCCAGGGGCTCGGGATCAGAGCTCTCCACAGTCCTTCCCTCCTCTCACCCTCCATGTCCCCCTCCCTCCCTTCTCCTTTTCCCTCACCCCTTCTCTGTGGTGTGTGTGTGTGTGTGTGTGTGTGTGTGTGTGTGTGTGTGTAGTGTGTGTATGTGTGTGTATGTGGTGTGTGGTTGTGTGTACGTGTGCATCTGTGTATATGTATGTGGTGTGGGGGGCGCACATGTGCATGCGTGCGTGCACACGCGCATGCATGTGTGCCATGATGTGCATTTGGAGGTCAGAGAACAACTTTCAGGAGTTGGTTCTCTCCTTCCACTGTAGGTTCCAGATCCCGGGCATCAGGCTTGTGCAGCAAGCACCTTTACCCACTGAGCCATCTCACCAATGGTCCTAGTATTTTCAATTAGCTTTTTCTTTCGGAATAATTTTGGACTTATAATTCATTTCATATTGTGGATTATACAGAAAATACAATAAAGAAATCATTCACTTGCTTGAGTTACCTACAGTGAGGTTTCACAGCTAAATTATCTTAAAATCCTTTGCTGTTATTGCATGTTTACTTGTTGAATTGGTTGCTTTTTGTCTGGAAAAGGTCATGTTTTATGGTCCAGCTGAACCTGAACTCATGTGATCCTGATGCCTCAATCCCCCAAGTGCTGGAGTACCAGGCATGCAGGGTCACCTTCAGCTCTTTCAATGTTTTTAAACAGCGTGGAACATCTGGAAGCATATTAAACGCCATAGGAGAACCTCTTGGGTTGGGGCTTACATGAGCCCTGAACCAGCACCTTGCCCTTGTCTCCTGGCCCTGCCATGAGCTCTTCCACTGGACCCCCTCCCCCACCAGCTGTGTGAGAACTCCTTCCTACATCTGTGTCACCCTTCCACAGGCCACCGTGTCCAGTACTCACCAAGGAGTTGGTGCTTGCAAACTGGCCCATCAAAGCTTTGACAAAGGCCTTCATCTGGCTAAAATCACTTTTCTCGATGCTGCCGGAGCCGTCAATCAGGAAAGCGATGTCCATCTCTTGTACTGGACAGTCTGCCGCAAAGGAGAGAGGGATCAGATGTATGTGTGGGCCTCAACCATCTCATGGGGCCCAGAATTCCTTCTTACTCAACAGAGCCAGAAGCCGGGTCTTGGATTTACCAGGCAGTTTCTAGCCCTCCACAGAGAGGGCCCTTGCCTCTTCTTCCTGAAACAGAAACCAGGGTGCTGTCCTCACTCACCCCCAAAGAGGCCAGAAAGTAGGCTCTGCAGTCAAATTCTCATTAAACACGTGCCTTCTCTAGGCTTGCAGAGCACACCTGCAGTGAGTAATGGGTGTGCCACCCTGGTCCAGCCTATTCCTGTGCTGAGGCACTCACTTCTGACTACATGCAGCTGGCCAGCAATCTCTCTCCGCTTCCCAAGAATCCCCCTGGACGGAAGGTGTGCTGCTTAGGGCTACAACCTACATATGGGGCCAACTATTGTCCAGGCTCCCAGGGCAGGGAAGCATCGATAAGGAACTGCCTCACGGGTCACCTTGCTGTGACAGACTTCCTAATGGAGTACACAGAATCACCCCAGAAAGTGAACCCCAAACAGACCAAAGTAACAGTTGCATCCAAGTCCAATTTAGGGTTAATGACAGGAGTATGGTGAGGGGTGACTGACAGGAGCAGTGGCAACTGTGACTCAAAGGCCACTTCTGTCACCAGCACCGGTGACAGCATGGGAAAGCTGCATTCCTGGAGCTCTCTACACAGCTTCAGGCAGCTCAACAGAGCCAACACGTCTCTCCCAGAAATTCGGCTTTCCTCTCTAGCAGTTTTCTAAGCTTGCATAGCCCTAGGGAGGGTTCCCGGGGGATCGTGGACGTTTCTGCTTTCTCACTTTCTCGGATGGTGAAGTCTGGTTGCTTCCTCAGCCTTGGGAGCCTCTCACTCCTTCCCAGAGAGAATGCTTCCCTCGCCAGGGATGCACTCGCCAGCACTTGCCTTCTGGCCAGATCACCTTCCTCTTGCTCACCAGCATTGCTCTCAAGAACATTATCTCACTTCAGAATCTGTTTCCGGCAAAATCTGGCCGCATAGGCCTAACTTTCAAAAAGAGACCACCTCTGGCTTCACGGAGGTCACACCATAAGAGGAAAGACATACCACATGCATGCAGACAAATAGGGCCCTTCAGACTGCCCCCACACTCACGCTGGGGTTGTGGGCTATGTGCAGGACCTCAGCTGCCTCCCCCAGCACCCACATCCTGTTACCCACAGGTGGAGAGTGAGCTGACCAGCATAACCAGCATAACCTCACACCAACACAGCAGACCTACAAATTGCCTCCCACACACCATTAAAATAAAAGGGCTTTTTCCTCTCTCCACTCTCCTCCCCCACTTCATCTGCTCCACTCACCAGGGCTTCAAGGTGCTTGTTGGGAACCATGGGGCCTAGTTTCAGAACAGTTTATAAGTGCTTGTCCAACCGTTCTGCAGATGAGGCTGGGACTTCAGGGGGTGGGTGGGGGGCACTGTGTTCAGTCTCGCTCGGCAAGGACCAGTGCACTACCGGGAGCACAGAACACTGCTGGGACAGCGCAGTCAGCACCCGCTCTTCTCTCTCATAATATTGACGATGCTCTTGGTGGCTTTTAGTGCCACTTCATCAGTCATGCATGGGACAGATGGGAATCTTTCCTGAAAATCTATTTTTTTCTCAAATATTTTTCCCTAAAATTCGATGGGAGCTGATGCTTCTCGGGTTTCTAATCTGGGGATGCCAGCTGTCACTCCAGACCCTGGGAGATGTTCTGATTCAGTGCTGACAGGATCGGAGGCAGCTGACCCCCAATTTCTGTAAATATGCTTTGTTAAGTTTTGAGCAATATTGTTGTTCTTGAAAACTTGTGCCTATGCTTATCACCTTTTAGTTTTGTAAAGACAGGATGTTCCTGACTCAATATTTGACCAAGCTAGCAAAATGATAAGCATTGCTTTTGGTTTAAAGGATGTTGTGATGTAAAAGTTGTGAAAAACATAGTTGTCATTTGCTTTTGCTGGAAGTTAACATTAGAGGGTGGGGAAAACATGTTTGTTAGTATGGAAAAACATGCTTGTTTTTGAAGTATAAATAAAAGATGGCCCAAGCTATTCGGGGCTGGCCACTTGTGTGAAACTCATCTGGTGGTCAGACACTACTTCATTTCTTCACGCCGATACCCCTTACTGGTCTCAAGACCTGAACCAGAGTTGTGGTGGGACCATGGCAGGTGCTGGAAGAAGTGGAAAATCACCACTTCCCTTTCTACTTCTGCGGTGACCACAAAGTCTAGCCTTCTGTACAGCAGGCTAAGCCTCAAGTATCCTGTGTTCTGCAGACCTAGAGATGTCTGGTGCAAGGGACGATGGTGACCACAGCTAACCGTCACAAAGTGGAAGACAGACCCTGTGTTCATCGCCTTATGCACATACCAATTGATTTTTATTGTTGCAACACCTAATGCAGAAGGCACGACTGCTACCCTCATTGCCCTGCGCACACCTGAGTAGTTGCCATCCTGTATTTTGTCCATGTTTTCTATCCTTATTTTCTATCAAGCCATGTCTACTACAAGGTCTATCAAAGGTCTCCTGTTTCTCTTTTTATTTTGTCCACCAGGCTTCCAACAGCAAGTTTCTGAATAGAGGTGAGTATCTCACAGAAAGGTTGGCTGAGCTCTGTGGCCTCTTTTTATCCATGGGGCCACTCTGATCATGGTTTTCTCAACAGTAAAAAAGAAATAATCCTGCCCACAGCCCAGAGGTCTAATAGAGCACTGGTCCTCAGATGGTAGACAGTGAACCCTAGTTCTTTCTACCTCTGCCAAACCTGCTTCTCTTGTACCTAGTTTATGCATGTACCTATGTTCTTTACCTTCGGGCATCCAATCTGTGACTTCCAGGGACAATGTGAGGAGACATCCCTCCTCAGGCTGGACACAATCTCCCCAACACCTAAAGTCCTAGAAACTACTTCTCTGTTCTTTCTGCTCCCTAGAGATACTCTGATCTCACAGTTTAGTCTAGGGGTGTTATTGCTGTTGTGTGAACATGGACTAAATGTTCACTGCTAGTGGCATCATGGCCTCTCCAATCTAAAGCATTGCTCTCAGTTAGCATCCTGTGTGACCCCTAGCTTCATTGGTAGGCTACAGATGAGGACGTTAACTGAGCCCTCCCCATAATGCAAATACAGTCATCTGACAGAATGTTACTAATAAGGGTTGTCACATGTTATGTGCCAGACAGGGGTCTAATCACTTTGTATACCTTAAATCCTTTAATCTTTATAACTACATAAATATTAACCCCATTTTACCAATGAGGAAGCTAAAGTCCAGAGGAAGGTGTTATTACCTGAATACATGAAAACACTTAAACCTAGATATACCGCCATTATGCAGTCTGACTCTCAATGAGACAACGCCCAGGTCCCCCCTCCATGGGCAGCACTGACATTCACACAACTGTGCGCCACACTTTCTGCAGTTCTGTCCTTTGTCCCCTTAGAGAGAGAGCTTGGAGAACCCCGGCAGCTTGGTCATAAGCCATCCACACTGTCTCCCCCATGGGTTTCTCTTCCTTCAGACGCGTTTTTGCCATCAAAGGAAAACCAAGGAGTGTCTAGACACCTGTAGCAACTGTGAGACCTCCACACCCCGCTTGGCCAGCACTCAGGCTCTCCTCTGATCCAGTCATAACCAACTGAGTGTTGTTGTCCTCATTGCCAGGCCAAAGTGAGCTCTCACCCACCTCTTTGGCTTACCAAAGCTCCTGCTCAGCCACATACTGCCCTCCAGAAGGGGATGGGAGAAGAAGGCTTCATTCTCTGACCACATAATGCAAGCTGTGCTCCCCAGAAACCTTGTCTCCAGCAAACCCACCTGGCAGGGTAGCAGGGACTGCCTGGATGAACTGCAAACTTGAGCCAAGAAGGAGGCAGGAACCCTTTGCATACATGTTCTTCTCACAAGCTCTCTGCACAGTTGGACCGCAGGCCTGAAGACAGAGAGCACCTCTATGAGCATTGCTTCCCAGGCGTACTCTTTCACCCCAACTCCCATCCCTATCCCCGCCCAGCCTCCTCCAGTCCCTGATATGCCTCTCATGCCCCTCCTGTGACCCAGAGAACTCACCAGCAACTGGGAGTGATTGGTAGCAGCCACCAGAGACAGGCCCAGGGACATGTTCACAGCCTCTAGGGGAACTGAGAAGGCAGACACATGTAGTCACACTCAACCACACAAATTCATTGAGGGGTTTAGTCTTAGCTGGGATCCACTGAAAGGAACACATTAGGAGAGCTGGGAGTGTTCATTCCTGGCTCAGTCACTCACGGGGCAGTACGACGGGTTGGCATATGCCAGTGGCAGGTGCACAGTCATACAACTGTCCTGTTTGGTTGACTGCTACCACCTCCAGAGGGGCTCCCACGATGAGTCTAGAAGAGCAACCAAAACACACAGTCAGAGAAGGAACAGGAGCACTTTGGGGACAAGGAACTACCTTGCCATGAGGAAGTAAGACTTTGTAGACGAGTTTTGGGTGTTTTCTACTTGAGAGACCATTTAAAAATCAGTTCTGTGTTTTCCCCATGCATGTAAGGGATGCTCACTGCCTTACTCTTCATACATGTATGTTTATGTAGAAATGTGTATAGCTGGTGTGAATAAATAATTTATATTTTTTCCCAAAAAATTGTACCAAAAATGACATTTCTTGGTCATGGGAACACATTATGAGTCTGCCATTCTAAGCCACCTGAGAAATAGTCACCTTAAGTTCAATGGAACAACTTTCTGAGGTCATAAGCTTTCCAAACAAAGGTGATTATAGTTGACTGGAAACTTTTCAATATAGCATAAGCATTTTAAACTGGACAATTTAACACAATTACATCAGATTTGCATCTAATCCTCATAGTAAAAATGTAAATAGTTTTCTTGCAAAATACCTCAAGGATTTTTTTAATTGGAAACATTTTATCACTACTACCCGGACAAGAGAAACAAATAAATATTGGTATCTTTGCACCAGCCAGACCAGCCTTAATTCAATGGACTTCTAAAGGTTCTAGCTCAAGAGGTTACTTTAGAGAAGTTACAGTTCTGTGTGTCATGCCTGATTCAATGGGCAGCCAAGAGCTTCCTGAGGGGTTGGAACTTGATGGCAACAATGAAGAACCAACTTGACTTTTCTTTACCAAACTCATTCTTTCTACAGAAATTCAATTTTTTTAGTGTTTCCCTTATGACTTAAAAAGTTTTCAGGGCAAACTGTAGCGTTGTAGACATCAGGAAATCACCAATGGAACCTAAAAACAAACTTCCGGTGAGTGATGTGTGGACAATGGCTACCTTGTGATTCATTGGGCGATGGCGCCCAGAAAAGGTGGGATGGATCTCCGGGCACAGAACTGCGAGCTGATCTAAAGAACAGCCACCCTGGCAAATGAGTTGGATCCTTCAGATTCATGTACCAGTCTATGTGTTACATTTTTTAACAAATAAAAAAATCCCCAAGACCTTGGAACTTAGAATCTGTAGCTGATGTTTTTCCCATCTCCCCAACTCACTAGCTGATTGAAGGGGGCGGGGCAGAATATCTAATTCGTGGCTATCAATGCAAAATAAAACTGTGGGGCCTCGGGGTTGGGAAGAGATTTTCCCCTGTCTCTTAGTCTCTTGATGGTTTCTAAGACCCCCTCAATCCCTCAAGCTCTTGGGGTGACTTCATCAACCTTGACCATGCCCAGCTCGTGCCAGGAGAGGACAGCGTAGTGGCCACTGGGCAGAAATGGAGCATCTCTGCAGAGAGATGCTGAGAGCTAAGTGTGTTTGTGGGCCCAGACCCCCAACTCCCAGCATGCTTCTCTGCTTCCATCCTTCCTTGCTTACAAAACACAAATGCAAGGTAAAACCACCAACAATCCAGGAGCCTCAGGGTAGAACAGTAAACTGCAAGTTCAGTGGTTGTAGATTTGGGGCAGTTACACGGGCCACACAGACAAAAGCAGGTTCAGAGGCTCCTGGGCAAAGCCGGGCCTTACCTCCAGTTCTGTCGTTCTCTCTGGGCCCATTAGTAACACATGGTGCCAGGGACCTCAGAAGAGACATTAAAGGACTCCTCTCTCACCCAAGGCACAGCAGTTACCCGCCATCAGGACCTGAAAGGGGTTGGCATAGGAGAACAGGCAGGGCCTTCTTACCGAGATCCACCAAACTGGACCACAGTCTGCCCAAAGCCGGCTGCATCCTCTCTGAACACAGTGGGCTTCTCCACATCCAGGTTGAAGCCATCACAGAAAGCCAGGACTAAGGAATCCAGTGGGTAGAAGGGTTGGAAGTCATCCAAAAGGTCAAACCCCCATGACCTCCCAGTCTCTTGGTACTCCACCCCATCCCAGTTTGGGCTGTCACCTGCCCTGGAGAGCCAAGCCCCCTCCTCCCACTGTGACTCCAGGATAGCTATCTGGGTGGTCCTCATCCTTCTTCCTCCCTCAGAAATAACCAAACCCAGGCCAATGAGGCGGCTCAGCTGGCCTGCCACCAAGCCTGCTGACCTGAATCCAATTCCGGGGATTCCCATAGTGGAAGGAATAAACTAACTCCTGTAAGCTGTCCTCTGATCCTCACCTGTACACCATGGTATTCCCACACCCCCAACACAAACATGCACACAAAATAAATAAAGATGTAACACTCCAGAAAATAAAAAAACAACAACAAAACCTAACAGATGTGGTGGTGCATCCCTCTGTTCTCAACACTTGGGAGGCAGAGCCATGAAGACACTATAAATTTCATCCTGGCCTGGTCTACAGCACAGTGAGTTCCAGGCCAGCCAGGGTGACATGCAGATCTCTGAGCCATTAAAGGCTAGGCTCACGACCAAAAATGTAAGAAAGAAACAATACAAAGGGCAAACCCAATGCAAATACAACAGTGCAGGGAAATGTCCCCTCCAAGCCATTGCAAATACAACAGTGCAGGGAAATGTCCCCCCCAAGCCATTTCAAAGGACATCTGGGACCTGGAATTAGGCATCTACTGCGTTAGCTCCAGAATACCTTATTTCCCATTTTTAGTACTGGAGTTTAAGTTTAGGACCTTGGACTTTCCTGAGCTATGTCCCCAGCTCCCCTCACAGTAGAGTCACTTGTTATTGCAGGCAGGATCCCAGCATGTTCTCCCAACCCTTATTAGGTCACATTCCCCTTGCAGACTAAACCCAAGCCTCAGGGAGTCCCTACCTTGCAAAAACTTTTCTGCTCCCTCATATTCCTAAACAACCATCTTTCTTCCCCACCCCACTAGAGTTCCCAGTTGTCCCCAAAACGGTTATTTGTCTGAGTCCATGACAGAGAGTCATTTGAACTTGGAGTTCAGATAGTCAGAGAGCTGGAACCCTGCGGCCACATGCTCAGGCACCTCACACACTTAGCTTCCTGCCTTAAGTGACTCCCCTTCTTAGCAGGCTCAAACCCTCATGGACAATAGAGGGGTAGCACAAAGTGATATGACGAAGTCTGAAGGCACCAGGGAATGGAGAACCCACAGAGCTTCCTATGAGGGCAGCCATGAGCAGGCTTGGTGCCCAGACCTGCCATCTCTAAAGAGAAGCTACAAGTCTAGGCTTTTGTATGAGTCTGATGCATGAATGAGGTCCCAGTACAGACTCCAAATTGTGGACTATTCTCTTGATAGCAATGGGACCTGCCTACCAGAAATCAAGACTTGGAGAACACCTGGGCCCAGAGAGGCAGAACCCAGCCTTTCCTCCTACCTGGTGGTGTCTGCAGCCTCCTCTCTACACCACTGTACATGGGCCTCTGTAAATGGGTAGCCTTGGGGAATGTGACTCTCTAGAAAGGCAGTTGGCTCTGCACACAGGCATCGTTTACGAAGTCCCCTATCCTCCCTCCCTTCAGTCCAAACCCCTGCCCTGCCTTTGGCTCTTCCTAGATAACCAACAGTCTCCAGTTAACCTGCCAGGTAGAGGAAGAGATGACCCACAGACCAAGCCTTACCCCAGCTGCACAGGAAGATCACAACTCCACAAGCCATCTTTGAGCAGTGCACTGGGAAGTAGAGAGCTATAGAGCCTAGGGTGCTTAGCCTCCTTGGGGGTAATTAAAATAATGACTCAGGACCTCAAGGGGCGGGGAGAAAGCCTCAGTTGGGCAAAGGGCTTTGGTTAATAGAGCAGATATGCAAAAGACACTCCATGAAGAAAGGCCTAATGCTTTTTTGCCCATCCCCTACTGGAAGCTGGCTTCCCTCCCCAGGAAACTACCCTTTTCCTAGTTAGTCAGATGATAGTAAGGGTTGGTACTAAGTGGGTTATAAGTCCCGGGGCCTTTGGGGTTCTCTGAGGCTGCGTAAGAGTAGAAAGGGAAGGAGCTGGACAGACAGACATAGAGGCTATGCATCCCATGAGTTGAGTGGGAACTGGGAGATCTTGGAGAGTTAAGGGGTAAGGGATGGAGGGAGTCTGCCCTGAGTCCAGGAGTTCATTAAAGAAGCACACAGCATCCTTTGCTACATGTGGTGGCCCAGCCTGTAATCCCAGCACTTGGGAAGCTGGGGGAGAGAATCACTTCTTAGAGCTCAACCTGGTTACAGAACAGAACCTAGGTCAACCTGGACCACGCAAGAGTTTGACTTAAAAAAAAAAAAGCAAATAAGTAAGTGAACAGCAAGGAAGGAGATAATGAAAATGTAAATTGATGGTCACAAGCATAACGATCTTCAGCGGCAGATGGACCCAATTCTATCCGAAATGGAAGGAGCCAGACACTCCATTGATGTGGGATTCCTTTTGTTCAAAGATAAAGAGCAGGGGAAACTAACCACTAGAGTAGGAAATCTGGTGACATAAGAAGGGGGTAACATTTGTTAAATTCAGCAATCGGCACTTAATATTTTAACTTTTGTTAATTGGTGGAGAAGCCTGGCAGGTAGATAAACGCATGACTGCTCTTCATTCTCTTAAATTCTCTCCACGTTTGAGCTGCTCTACAAACAAGCACAAGTTATCATTTTACAGAAACAAGTCATAAATGGAGAAGCTGGGGCCAGACTTGGATGGCTAAAGCACATGGCAAAGCCTGGCCTGTAGCACGTGTTACTTTTTGTGCGCATGCGTGACACTTAAGTGTCAAGTGTGAACAGCGGAAGATAGTCTTCTTTTGGGTTGCTTCTTGTTTTGCAGTGTTGGAGACTGAGCCCAGGTCCTCAGGAATGGGAGCCAAGTATTCCACCAACAGAACAAACATCCAGCCCCTGAAATAATTTTCCTTTTTTTAAAATAAGCGTATTTTATCTATTGTCAATATGTGCAATGTCTGGGAAGTGGTGCCTGGGCCACTGCACACCCGTGGAGGTCAGAGGATAACTGTGGGGTCCGTTCTCTCCTTCCACCTTT